TGATCTTCTAGGAAAGGGCAGAGTGAAGCCTTCTTGTCACCTTGTGTGACGCTATTGGCTGAGTCTTGGCTTTAGATTTTATTAATTTCCTGAACCATTTTCAGCTGTGGTTCAGGAAAACCAAGAAAATGGCCTCATTGAATTGAAGTTGAAGTCTTTGACTTTTTATATGATCAGGTCTACTCAGGTCTAATGCTAATTTGAAAGAAGTTTCTATTTTTCTTTGCAAAGAATGTAATGAATGACATTTGTCCTGAAGAGAGGATATAAGCTTAAAAATACAGAGGAACATAAGGTGATTAGCACATTAAAAATATATGTAGGCTGTCTGCTCTGTTGACAGTGTACAGAATGGGAGAAGATCTTTGCCAGACAAGGTATTAATATCTAGAATATATAAAGAACTACAAAAGTTAAACATCAACATAACAGAACTGCCAGTCAATAAATTAGTGAATGAAGTGGACACTTCTCCAAAGAAGAAACTTAAATGCCTAATAGTTTTAAAAAGTATTTAATATTCTTAGCTGTCAACAAATCCAAATTAAAACCTCTCATTTCAGTCAGCATGGCCTCTGCTACAAAATAAAGAGGAACATGGGGAAAGACAACCCTGTGCATTATTGGTGGGAGTATGAGCTGGTGTAATTAGTGTGGGGATCAGTGTGGAAAGTTATCAAAAAAAATTAAAAGAAGTTACGCTACTATATGACCCCGCTCTACCACCTGTAATCAAATACCTAAGGTGCTGCGTGCATTCCGCCTCACAGAAATTTGTCCATCCATGCTTATTGCTGCTCTACTCATAATACCAAGACAGTGGAACCAGCCTAGCTAGGTGTCCATCAGTACACAAATGGATTATGTAGCTGTGGGACATATGCACAATGGGATTTCATTCAACTGTAGAGAAAAGTGAAATTATGATATTTCTGGGAAATAGATGAATCTGAAAATACTATATTAAGCAGGGTATCCAAGATTCAGAATGGTATCACCTGTTTTTCCCATATGCAGAGCCTTACTTGAAATGTTTATATACATACATACATACATGCATGCATGCATACATACACACATTGGTTATGTGTGGTAGAGGTCATATAAGCAGAAGGGGGCAGTGATAAGAGGGAAAGGAGGTATGGAGAACAGGCAGAACTAGAACACAGGTGACACAAGAGAGACTATGAGGTGATTGGACATAGACAGGAACCAGAAGGAGAAGGGGATATGGAGAAAGAAGAAGGGGTCACAAAAGTGAATTATTCTAAAATCGCTGAAAGACACTTAAGGAAATGCTCAACATCCTTATCAGAGAAATGCAAATCAAAACAACTCTGAGATTCCATCTTACAACTGTAAGAATGGCCAAGATCAAAAACACTGATGACAGCTTATGCTGGAGAGGTTGTGGGATAAAGGGAACACTCCTGCATTGTTGGTGGGAATGCAAGCTGGTACAGCCCCTTTGGATATTAGTATTGCAATTTCTCAGAAAATTAGGACACAACCTTCCTCAAGACCCAGTAATACCACTTTGGGGTATATATCCAAAAGGATGCTCAATCGTGCCACAAGGACATGTGCTCATCTTTGTTCATAGCATCATTGTTTGTCATAATCAGAACCTGGAAACAAACTAAATGTCACTTGACTGAAGAATGGATAAGGAAAATGTGGTACATTTATACAATGGAGTACTACACAGCAGAAAGAAATAACAACATCTTGAATTTTGCAGGTATACTATGACCCTGTGTTTAATATTCGGCTCCACAAAACAAACAAGCCAGGGGTAAAATATGAAAGATATTCACTTCCCAGGAGCCTTGTAATATGATTCTGAATTCAGTTTACAAGGTCAAAATCAAGAAGTTTGTTCTAAGTGTGGATTAGGTATGCTGAACGAAGGGATGAAGGGAATAGTTTTAAAAAGAGGTAAGCAACCCATGAAATAATGTTGCTATAATTAAAAATATTCTTCAGATTTTAAGTTTTTTGTTCTCTCTCTCTCTCTCTCTCTCTCTCTCTCTCTCTCTCTCTCTCTCTCTCTGTCTGTTTGTCTCTTTTTTCTGGAGATATTGGAAACATGGAAGTCAATTCTGTCGTTTTACTGTGGGACTGCTGAGAATTGTCACTCTTAGTGGTATGCGCCTTTACCAGCTGCACCGTCTCACTGTCCCTTGCTGTATTTAAAGCTTATAAAAATGGGGCAGTGCCCTCAGGAGCGGACATGTGCATTGAACTGAGAGCCTAGAGAAGGCACAGGTGCATTTTGGGGATTTTCGTTTGCAGGTCTATCCTCCTCTTTAGGGCTACTTGGAGACTAAACAGTATGGGCGAGTGAAACCCAACAACTCTCATCTTAAGTTGCAAATGGGCCCTAGAGCTCTGACTATATAGTCTTTGAGGGTAAAAGCTCCTTCAGCCTAGGCCTTCAGGCTTCCTAGTGATGCGCTTCCATCCCCAGGCATACAATCACCTAACATAGATACACACTTCTGGACAATGCTGTTGCAGGGTTGGCAAAATAGTACCCAATTGGTTCAGCTCTTGCAATTCTAAGGTGTAGAAATAAAGTGTTTTAAAAATTAAGTATCAATTGTGTATAAACAGTAAAAATGTTTTATTCAAAACAGTCCCATACATGAACTATCAAGCCATTGAAGATATAGAGAGAAATTAAGTGCATATAGCTAAGTGAAAGGAAACGTCTGACTGCTTTATACTTCCAATTATGATATTTTGGAAAAGAAACTTTAGACTGAAGTGAAAAGATCAGTGGACACCAGGGTTTGCTGGGGAGAGACAGATAAATTGGTAGAGTACGGGTCATATTTAGAGCATTGAAACTATTTTGTATAGTGTTAAATAGTGGCTGCATCTTACTGGAAATCCACAGAAACCATAGAACTGCCCGGTAGTGATTCCTAATATATACTCTGCCTGCTGCGAGATCACAGCTGATGTACACTAAGTTCTGTGGCTATCTGCTAATATGCCAGTTCGTGCCCATTAGTCACATAAAGTGTAGCATTTGGTGGGGTGTTGTTAGTAGAGGAAGTGTATGTATATGTGTGGTAGGCAAGAAGTATGTGTTGGGGGAGGGTAGGTGGCAGGAAAGGCAGCATTTGCTCCTTTGTACTTAGCCTTTTTTACTTTTTCACCTGTTGGACATCGTTCTAGCTGTTAGGAAGGTCTTCTGCATTCTCTTTTACACTTAAATACTGCTCACCTATGTAGACTGAGCAGTGTGTTCAGATATTTCTCCAGTATAAAATATTTTTGTGTTTAATGTTTAGAATTCTCAAACGCCAGACATGATGCATAACTGTGATGGCCAGTTAGTCACCACTTCCCTCAGTGCAGAATCACCTGGGACGAGAGTTACGGTGAGGGAGTTCTCAGGGCTGAGTTGGCCTGTGAAGGTGTCTGTAGGGCATCATCTTGTTTACGTTAATCAATGTAGGAAGACCCAGCCTAATAGTGGGCAGCATCATTCCTTAGGCGCGAGTCCTGAACTATGTTGATTGTACACAAGGTGGGTTATTTCAGCACTCCTGGGACTCACTTGAAGCCCCCGGGTGGTTAGATCTTCTGAAAAGACTGTTGAGCTTTGAGAGGAGACCTTGCTATGGGACTTTCTTTGTGCCTTTAGTATTTTTTGTATCAAGATTGTTCTAATCATCCAATATAACTTTACTAGAACTGACAGTCCTCCTTTAGTATTGTTTCCCATGGGACTCAGGAGTAAAAAATGATGGCCATTTGCCTTGCCTGTCCTAGAGCTAGCTCTGTAGACCAGGTTGGCCCTGAACTCACAGAGTTCTACGTGCCTTGCCTCCCAAGTACAGGGTTTAAAGGTGTGTGCCACCACTGCCTGGCTTTATTTCTCTTTTTTGACCCATTCTCCTCATAGGTAAAGTTGATCTGCTATGTCACCACAGTTGGATATGTGTGTGTGTGTTTTGGGGGGATTATATGCCTGTGTTTACACTTATGCGTGCACACACAGGCCAGGGGTGGATCTCAAGTGATTTCATCTGTCACTTTCCATGTTAGCTTTTGAGATAGGGTCTTTCACTGAATTTGAAGCCCACTGCTTTAGTTAGCCTGGTTGCCCAGTGATCTCCAGAGAGCTTCTGGTTTCTTCCTCCCCATGGGACCACAGATGAATGTCATTGTGCCTGCCTTCTTACACAGTTGCTTAGGATTGAATTTAGATTCTCCTGGTTATGTGGCAAGCACATACTTACTGATCCATCTCATCAGCTATGGATACTCTATTTTATTGGAAAAGAAGCTTATAATTAATGACAGCTATGGGTAATGATGATATTAAGGAAATTTTATTTAGCTGTTGTTCTTTAGCATGTACCCTGTATTTTCATATATTACTTACCATATAAATCTGTGAATTTGGCACGAGCCAAGACTTCGCTATCATTTAACTTGCCCCTTTCTGTATATAGTAAGTGGCAGAGATATACACAAAGCTCTGAAATGGGTTTTAGAAATAGAGTATCAAAACTCCAGCAGATTTCCTGTCTTCATAGACTTTATAGGATTTAATTCTTAAACTGTACTTTCTTACTTAGTCTTAGATCACATTGGAAATATCCTGTAGGACACTTAGGGATACTATTTTAGAGTCTAAAGCTTGGCATTTCCATTAAAATTGAGGATAATGTCTCTTGTAAAGAAATGACAGAAAACTCAGGCAGATATAAAACTGATTAGCAAAGATCTGAGTAATGTCTTTAGTTGCCCAGGGACCTGCCACACTGGGTAACTCAGAGCTTGGCTAGTTAGTACAAAGTACTGTTAGTACAAAGTTACTGTTTCAATGTGCCTATTAGCTATAAAATTTAAGTTTTTAAATTTTAATTTACTTTTTTTGTTTAAAATATAATTCTTATCCCCATAATTTCTATACTGTTTGACAGAAACCAACTGAGGCCTTTTTAAAAACACATTTCATTATTCCTTTTGGTTTACAGTTATTTGCTGGTGTGAAGAATGGAGAAAGCTTGGAACTCTTTGAAGAAAGTTCTCGCTCTGCTCATAAGCAAGAGACACACACCATGGAGGCCGTGAAACTTGTGGAGTTTGACCTTAAACAAGTACTGACTAGGCTTATGACACATCTTTTTGGAGATGGTAGGTATTCAGATAACTTTGTGACTCAAGGCTCAATAGTTCAAAAGTTAATAACACTGTGCAGCCAATCATTTAAGCTGCTTGGCTCTAATGCTTTTATTGTTGATTTGATTTTTTTTCTAAGTTATTGGCGAATGGGAGGAAGCCTGTGGACTTCTTGGTTCTTTCAACTTGATATATAGAAGGTATAGAATGGAATTAGCTAGAGAAGGAACAGTGACGGTGGACTAGATTGGTATCTCTTCAAAGAGTCTGGTTAGCTTGGTTTTCGTTTCTGTATTACTACATCACATGGATACGATGCTTCACAATGTGGAGTACTCCATGCCACAGCCATACATTTGATGTATGACTACTACTGTCAATAGCAGAAGAACTAATGTGAGTTTCTATAGGGAAAATTATATTGTTCAAATTTTGACTCATTTTCTGAACTTGTTTCAAATCTTCCTCCAATAAGGAAAATATTGTTGGTGATTCCTGCAATGGGAGCCTCAGTCCCCGTCCCTTGCTGGATCCCAGAGCTCACTGATCTTGGCTGACCTGTATGCTTTCGTTCCTACAGACTCCTCTATTTACGCCTGAACTCTAGTGTGTGTTTAAAATGACTTCTGCTGTAATTTAGTAAGGCTCTGCTGCTCTGTTTTAACAAGGTTTATAGGAATATCTTTACTTCCATATCATCAGATGCATAATTCATGTAACATTTAAGACGCCACTAACTAGCCCTCCACATTCTTTATATGGCATACATTATTTAAATTTGCACATTGATGTCAGACTTACACTTTTCTAGGCAGTAAGGAATAGTAATGTGAGGGTGTGGGAAACTGTCTTCATCTGTGTTCAAGATGTTTTATTTTGTAAAAGTATGAAGTAAAATATGACAAAATGTTATGATTTGATAAAATAGAATAATGGCTGCATGGATGGTTGCTATTTTCTATTCCTGTCTCCAGACTTGAAGCTTTTCATATCAAATGGTATAATGTGAAACAGATTTCCGTTCAAGATTGTTGATGAGAAAATCCTATTATAGCTCGCCCCTCTTTATTTCTACAGTAAAGGAATTGTGGTATTTTTAGCAGTAGTATAATCTACTTAACACTGAAATCTAGGGAGATAGATCGTATTGTTCAAATATTTAAGAGTCAGGGTAGGGAAGAAGGGATCCCAGTGTTAAGGAGAAACATTCTGTCTCGCAGCTTCACACAGCATGACAGGATTTCATCTGCATCCTTTTCGTTTGTCAAATTATGTACAAAAAATTTATATCCTTCCTTATCATGCTTTTTTTACTCCTTTCTGCGAGCAAATAATTGAAATTGCTGCTTGTGAGATTTTATGAACTTGATTTCTATCAGGTTGTAGACATCAAAGTATGGAATAATCTAGATAGAATTCCTGTCTTCAGGGAGTCATGCTTCTTTATATTTTACCAAGGCATCAGTGTCTATGAGTACTCAGAAGAGCCTGTAGTCAGGAGGGCACGTGGTGGATGATTCCCAATAGAGGATGAGGGAGAATTAGCAAGAAAGTCTCCAGACAACCAGACAACAGTGGGGAGGAAAGGGAACATGTAATAACCAAGACTGCAGCCAGGTTTGCAACACTGAAAACATTGGCTGGGGCTACAACCCAGGGACAGAAAGCAAAGAGGAGGAAGGAATGTGGATAGGGATGGCAGTAAATCCCATGCCTTCTGAGGATTTCTGTTGAGAGCTCTTCTCTGCCTTTTAAACCCTGACTTATTTATCAGTTTCTGTGATATCTTAGACTTCAGTTATCCAACTTTTAGTTTGAAATAATTCTTGTTTCACAAATAAAATGAAACATGACATGCAAAATGTGCCTTATAGGTTGAAAATAGTAAATTTAGTGTAAATATGAACAAAACTAAGGAAGAGATGTGAAATTACAGCACCGAATGCAAAATGGCTCTGAGGATGGAGGAGCTAATCTGGCAGCTAATGGAATGGGATGCTCCTTCCATCACGTTGGTGCTCAGCTTAGCTTTGTATCATCTGCAACAATTGGAATGTGTCTTTGTAAGCTATGTTTTCTCTGTGTAAATGGAGGTGGTACTTTTGTTTCCCAGGCACCCAGTCCTGAATAATCACACAGAAACTTACATTAATTACAAAGTGTTTGGCCTATAACTCAGGCTTATTACTAACTAGCTCTTACATCTTAAATTAAGACATTTCTATTAATCTACATTTTACTACCAGGCTTGTGGTTTTTTACTTCATTTTCCGTATGTCTTGCCCATTTGGCAGCTGGCCGGTATCTCCCCAGACTCTGGCCTTGTCCTCCTTCTTTTAGCCTCCCTTTGACTTCCCACCTAGCTATGTTCCTCCTTGCTGTAGGCCAAAGCAGCTTTTATTACCAACCAATAAAAGGGCAACATATATTCACAGCATACAGAATAGTTATCCCACACAGCAGTGCTGAACTGGTAGCTCAGCATATAAATATGCCCAGGGTCCATCCTAACAACCTGAGCTTCATCTTCAGGGCCCACATGGTAGAAGTGCAGAGCTGACTCTCGAAAGTTGTCTTCTCATTTCCCCAGCATATTATGGCAGGTGCCTGCTGTCAGATAAATAAATGAGCAAATGTGTTGTGCTTGCTAGACTCAGTGGAGACCAAGGAAGTAGATTTCTGGGAATCTACTTTTGAACTTGTTTCATATTAGTGCTTTTAGTATTTGTGATTGCATGCCTTGCTAAACCATGCATTGAAGTGAAATTTCATTATTCAAGACTGTTTCTGCAGTACATTGTCTGTTTGTTTGAATGTGATGCCTGTCTTTGCATGTGGCAAAAGCTCATGCCTACATATAAGAATTTTGAAACAGTAGTGAGATAGCATCTCATTATCAGGATATGTTCATTTGTTGATTTTTTAAAGTCTTGTGTTCTTGGACTTTTTCAATTCATGCTTTATAACAGATCATTGTTGTTGTTGTTTTGTTGTTATTTAATTTTTTTTTTTGAGATAGAATCTCATTGTGTATTTCTGTTTGGCCTGAAACTCACTCTGTATACTTGGCTAGCCTCTAACTTAGATTTTCCTGCCTCTCTCTTCTTCGTTCTTTGATTGAAGACATGAGCCATCGTGCTTGTCCGGTATTTCAGCTTTTCTATGTCTTTAAACTCACTTTTGTTTATAATACCTGCTTCACAAAGATATAGAGTAGAATTAAAGTAAAAAACAATGATTTGTTTTTTGGAGGATAGTGGTAATGTAAACTGAAGTCTGGAAAGAACCCGGAGAGTGTCTTAGTATAATTGTGTCAGTACCATCAAGCTGAGCATCATGGAGCTCAAAGAACAGTCCGAGGGTACCAGGAGAGGCTAGCTGCTGTCCACCTGACACTGAGCTCTTGCAGAAGGAGCTGTTCTTTCCTGCTGCCAGGTGGAGCCCAGAACTCGGACTCCTGAACCTATTTTTGATGTTAGCTGTTTTAAAAGAATAAAAATAGACCATTTCAATAACCCACGTGGTGCAGGCTAGTAATTCCTGGATTTGGATAGCTGAGGCAGCAGGATCAAAGTTATCCAGGGCCACATAGGTAACAACCTCTCAAGAAAGATTAAAAGGAGTGAGTCGTGAGTAAATGAGAGATATTAGTCATTTTAATATTATTTCTGAGACTGAGACAATGAAATCTATGATGTTAAAAAAAAAAAAAGGTCAGACAACCTAACTGAAGTGGCGTTTCTCTCCAGCCTGCCCGCTAGCTCTTTTCTCTCCCTCCTGTTCTGGGCCAGGTTGTCACAAAGCCTCGATTTGCTACATATTCAATTACATTTCGGGTACCAAAGGACACATAAAAACCTAAACTTTGTTTCTTTCTATATTTAATTAATGGCCACAGTTTATCAGCCTAAGACATATTCCTCAAGATTCTTTTTGTATTTGTTTATATAGCCGATTCTCCTCACTTATTATTATTGGATTTCTTTGTACTTGGAAAGCAGAATTAAAAATTAGACCACGTCTGTCCTTGTGTCAGTTTGATGTTATTATAGCAGCTTTAGATTCAGCTTTCCTCTGTCTCCAAATGTGATTTATTATTTTCTGCGAACATTTGAGTTGTACCAGTATCCTAAGGCCGTTATAAGAGAGGTTATCATTTTAGAATTAGAAGGAAATAAAATAACATTTTAGACTATTTTTATGCCCATGAAATTTATTATTGTTTTCTGTACTTCTACTGCTTTCTATGTATTTTGTACCCTGCTTAGTAATCATTTCTTTTATGTCATCTAAGACAGGGGTTTAGGATTCCTAGAATTTTAATTTCTTTTTGTATCCTTTGGGGTTTTCAGCCTTTTTCCAGAGCAGTGTCTGACATACATTGGTGTTTCCTAGTAGAGTATTGCTCTCTCTCTCTCATTCTCTCTCTCTCTCTCTCTCTCTCTCTCTCTCTCTCTCTCTCTCTCTCTCATTCTCTCTCTCTCTCTCTCATTCTCTCTCTCTCTCTCTCTCTCTCTCTCTGCAGGTTAGATGAATAAATCAAGGGACAGAGAGGCTATGCTTCTCTCCTGCTAACCTAGACCAGGAATGCTCAAGGGAGCATTCCTGTCTCTGGTGGTGGTGGTCTTTTAAACATATCTCCAACAATCTCTTTGCTGATATACAATGTGTCTCCAGCTAGCAGTACCTCAGGAAACAACCATAGCTGCCTGGAGCTCCTTTGCCTGAGGACATCCATTCCCATGTCCAGAGCCTGAGTCTGGCAGTAATGTGTTCCATGATGCTGTTGTAACCTCTGCAACCTCTACGAGTGTAAGGCTTTGTGAGACTGACACCAGGTCGTGTTGTTACCCGTATGTTTAACTTCCTCCTTACTGTGTTGCCCTTCAACAGGCTCTGATTCCCCCCAGATAATCACTTTGCCAGTTAGACCTGTATAGGGACCAATATATTGACCTATTCAACCAAAATCTTCCAGGGCTCTGTTCTATGAACAGTGACCTGGTCCAGATGGA